GGCTCTAGGGCAGGAGGACCATGTGTCCCTGCTTACACTTCACAGATGGGGATGGGTCCCAGTAACCCCCTAACTCCCCGCCCATTTAAACCCCCTTTTTGGAGCAATGTCTGTTCTTAACCTCTCAGGACAATTCATTCTGGACTTTGATCCTTTTCTGCAATGTTGGAGTGCCTTCCCTTTGTCCTGAAACACCCCCTCCAAGCCCCAAGGTGTGCTCCCTGGCCCCGTGATTAGGGCTCAAGGCATTTTCTCCCTCAGCCCTGTCAAGATTTGAGAGATTCCCCAGCCCAAGTTTGGGAAGCTGCCTTTCCAACGCTGCGCCTGGCCTGGGGGCAGCTGTCGAGGCACGTGAGACCAGAGAGGAAGGGAACAAGTGTGTGCACCCACCTCTGGGAGACTACAAAGTCTGTCCTGCCAAACCCCAGAGACACAGTCATCTTTGGGTTCCTGTGTCACCGACAAGGAGGCTGCGAGGACGAACCACAGTGCCATGGGCAGAAGCCGGGTGCAGCCCTGTGTCCTCGCGCCCCCAGGGGCCTGGCTGCCCACGGCTGCCCAGCCGGGGCGGGAGTGTGGGGACCCCGAGTGAGGGCAAAGGAGCTTGATGGGGTGCCGGGACATGAAATTCATTTACACCAGGCATGTGCTCAATGAGGGGCTGAATGAAGACGTGATTTGGAGTCAGGCAAGATTTGAACTTGACAAGGCTGGGAACTGGGGCCGTGGCCTGACCAACCACCCTAGCATCACTGGCTCCAAGCCCCAGACTTGTCTGGGCTGGGGTCCTGGCTGCCTGCGTAAAGTGGGGAGGGGATGCTGCTGGGGTGGGACCCCACCTGGCGGGCGATCTGTGAGGCAGCCTGGCGGGGTCCCTGCTTGGTCAGAAGACGGGACCAAGTCCCTCAGAGGCTCGGGACAGCAGCTCCAGAGGAGGGAGGCAGTGGGAGACACAGCCACGCCCCTTATTCTGCCCAAATGTCCGCAACGAATTATGTTTCTGCTCGCCAGGGGAGTCCCTGGTGTCCACCTCTATTTCTCCACCATCCTCCTTCCAAGCCAGGCTGAGGGGCAAGATGGGAGCATGGATCATAGAATCCAGACAGTGTCTGGGTTAAAAAAGCCCTGAGAACAGAAGAGGGCCCCAGGCGCTGCCCAGGGCCTCACATACAGCGCCAACAGAGCAGAACAGGGACCCACATCTCCAGATGCTGAGGCCTCTGGTTCTTCCCAGGCCACACATCCCCCTCCACCTTTGGAGCAAACTCAAATACAGAGGAGAGCTTGGGGCTGAGGTGGGTTCCTGCCCTCCAGGCTGCAGGCCTCCCCACCACCCAGAGCCCCTTTCTAGGGGGCTGGGTCAGCCGGTGGCCTCAGCAGAGGTGATAGGTGTGGGCAGCCGGGGAGACTCTAGGGGCTGAGAGGGGCCAAGTCCCAGCACCACGTGCAGAGAGAAGTGTGCAGTCACCACGGCACCTGTGTCTGTCAGGTGGGAGGGACAGTGGCTTCCCCATGGGATGGCTGCGAGAGCCCCACGAAACAGTTCACTTAGCTGGCCTTCACCACGTCTCAGACAGGGTCGCGAGCCATGTCAGCTGCGTGTCTGGACGCCAGTGGTACCTGATTCCTAAGCCTCACCCCCACCCCCTGTTCTCCACACACACCTCCTGGGCCCACTGACTGGCTCCTCAAGCCGAACCTCCCAGAGAGCAGGGCTCCTGGGAAAGTAAAGCCCGTGGCCTGCACAGGCCTGGGATCTGAGGAGGTGGGAGAAAGCCAGGAGGCCTAGAAGAAACCTGCCTCCCCTGCTCTCATGCTGAGCCCGAGAGGCAAGTCCTCCTCCTGCCATCCCCCAGGGACCCACCTCCCTTCTTTCTGCCCTTGGAGACCCCAGGGGCAGCAGGTGCGTGGGGAGGAGCACAATGGGGTGCTTGAGGAAGGCTGGGGCTGCCAGGAGGTGGCAAGCCTGGGACACCTTCCTGGGTAGGAAGGTGGCCTGTCACATGCAGAGAGGCGGCACTCTGGACAGTGGGGTGGTCAGTAAGGAGGAGGCTGGGTACTTTTCTTGGCTCTAGCTTGTTTGAAGAGCAGTTTCAAAGGGCAAGGGAGCTGGGGTTCCATGGAGGGCAGGAGCATGGCAGGAGAAGTGAGGGGACAGGAGGAGGAGTGGAAGAGTGAGAAGATAGAGGGGAGAGGCTGGATCCCGAGGCGGGGAGGGTTCAGAGAAGCCAAACACGTTGCTCAGGCAGGTCATGGGCACTGGCCCCAGACTCCCTGCGGCCTGGGCAGTCCGGCTTCTCTCCAAGGTGCTGACCGGCTGACTGGGGGGCCGGTCCATGTGCCCCTACCCACCCTGCATGCCTCCTGGTCAGGCCCTAGTCACACCCCCACAGTCCCCTGGCTCCCCAATTAAAGGACGCCCTTGCCTGGAGGGAGAGGGGCTGATGGTCAGGACAGTGGGCAAGCCTGAGTAGGTCTGCCCCACTTGGTGGAGAAAGGTCATCTCAGCTCAGTGGTAGGCACTGTCACCCCCCTGCCCCACCCACTCTCCCTCAGTGCTCCTCACACTGGGGTCTGCAGCCAGGGTCCTGGGCTCTGGGCAGACTGAGGTTGGATCTCAGGATTGAGGTAGGGGCTCAAGAACATTTGTCCCACCCACAGTCCCTCGCCAGAGTAAGATCTGGGAGCCGGGACTGAGCAGGATGTGGGAGATAGGCTTGGGCGGAGGAGTTGCAGGGTCACAGACTGGGCAGTGGTAGGAAACAGCTGCTACAAATCTGACTCTGGGTCTCTCTGCCCTCTCTCCTTGATCTGCCTTCCCGAGGAAGTGGGAGGGGCTGGGAGAAGGGGCTAATCCGTCCGGCCACTGCCCCACCGATCTGGCCCTGTATCTGGGCCTTGGCCTCCACCAGCTGTTACCAAACTTTCTTTGTCTGGAGTCTGAGCCAGAGCCTCTGGGGCAGAAAGGAACCAGGACATGCTGAGCCTTATTCCAGACATGTGGTTTAATCCAGAAAAGATCAACTCGAGGTTTGGGAGCTGGAAGCATCACTCGGGAGATGGGCAGCACCTAGGCCCCAGCAGAGGCTGGTGGGAGGGCCGGGCCTGCCGTCCTAAGGATGTGGATCTGGCAAACACAGGGCTTGTCCCAGGACCCTAGGCCTATGGGGCCATGGCCTGAGGGTCAGCAGGTCCGAGCTCTGCCGTGACTGTGGGCACATCCTTGCCACTCTCTGAACGTCATTTTCCCCAACGCACACCTGTCTTCTCGGGAGAACGATCACCCACCTGAGAACATAATCATGGCTGAATTGCATGGCACAGTTGGGGAGAACTGGGAAGTCAGAGGAGGAACCTGTTGGGGAGGGCTTCCTGGGGGCGGAGGGCTTTGGGCTGAATTTCGATGAGAAGGAAGGGGCGTATTGGGCAGGGGGACGGCAGCACAAGAGAAAATGGCCATGTTGTGCCCACAGCACTGGGGCCAGGGGAGAAATGCCATTGTCATTAGAGCCTGGATATGGTCACCATATCGATCGATCCCTGGTTCTGGTCCGGACCCTGCCACTGACCAGCAAATGAATCCCTTCCCCATATGTGATCTACAAAATGATCACGTAATATATGGTCCCTTCCAACTCTGATAATCTGGGCTGGGTAGGAGGTAGGCTCCGAGGTGGGTACCAGTCATTGGAATTGTGCAAGGCAGGCCATAGGGAGCCATGGGAGGTTCTTGAGCCCAGGGGTGCCTGATGAAGGAGTGTTGAAAGGAAATGAGCTTGACAGTGGGGTGGGAATGGACTTTGGAGGATCAAGTGGCCCAATCAGGAGGAGGGCAGGACTCTGGGAAAATGGACCGGCCAGAGCAGAAGCCTCAGAGGGAGTGTGGCACAATGAACAGAGCCTGCATGTGGCCGGCTGGGGACTTCAAGCAAGCTGCATAAGATCTCTGAACCTCACTGTCCACATCTATAACCCGGGACTCTCGAACCCACATCCCCCGGAGTTGTGGGCAGTAAGGGAGATAATGGGCATGAATGCTCGGGGTATAGAAGGTGCTCGCTGAGCAGTTCTCTCTTCCCTCCGAGTCTGACCCCGGAGCCTGGAGGAGACGCTAGAGTTACAGGCTGGGATCCCTGACCAGTAAACCAAGGTCCCCACAGATCTGGGCTGCTGGGATCAGAGCATTCCCCACCACCTCCCCACTTGCAGACAGTCAGATCTTTCTTCCCACCGCATGGTTAATTATTAACTTATTTTTCACCAGGGAGGTGTCAGGAGCTGGGACCAAGCCTTGGTTGTGAGCAGGTTTCTTGGCATTTAGGTGCAAAGTGAGGGGGGAGCTGGAATGTGCAGTGGGGAGGAGGTGGGAATTCTCTGCCCCTGAAGGAACCTTGGGCCAGGAGTCCGAAGACCTGGATGCAAATCACTTAGCTCTCTGCACCTTCACTTCCCTGTCCACGAAATAGGAATGAGAATAAGGCCTGAGCTGCCTCTCTCCAGGGAGGGATGGATGCAAGGGGCGCTCACTCAATGTATCAGGGCCGTGTCGTCAAGTCCCTGTCCAGCAAATGCTGCCCTGCCCCTTCATCCTCACTGACCCCTCATGCCACGGTGCCCCAAAACACAGCAGCTGCCTCCCATCCGACCTGTGGCTGTGGCCAAGCAAACAGAAGGGCCATGAGGGAAGCGAGTTCTCCTGCTTCTTGGAAAAGCTTCCGTCTTCCTGGCATATGGCCCAGGGTGCTGGCAGAGACTGTCCTAACGTGGCAGGCATGGGAGTTCTGGGGACGTGGATGGGGCGGGAGGCAAGTAGGGGTGATGAGGGAGGGGTGGGGAGCCAAGAGGTGCTCTCCAGGGGTGGGGCCTCCTAGGGGGTAGGGCGTGGGCACAGGCCCGGGTGGGGACCCAGGAGCAGAGCGGGCTGTTGGTGCTGCCTGGGTAAATAATGTTGGGCCCACAGCACACATGTGTGTTTGCACAGAAGGCCTTGAAATGATTCCAGGCCTGCCCTCTGTCCCCCGCAACCCCAGTCCCCCTCCTTCCCTGCTCACCCCACCCCACCCTGACCTTTCCTTCCTTGTCACTTAAAGGAGCCCTTGAAAGGGAGAGTCTAAATCAAAGGGAACACCATGCTCTCTTGCTGGCATTCTCTCCACCACAGGAAACTACACGGCTGCCATGTACAGTTGGGAAGGTTGGGTACTGCACAAGGGAGGGGAGAAGAGGGGGTTGAAATCCCAGTTGGGCTCCATTCACCAAACTGCTATCCAGAGAGAAAATCGCCATGTGCTGAGATATTTGAAGGTGTAGAATGGGCTAGCTGGAGCCCCCAAGAAGCCAGAAGTATCTTCCCAACTGGGCTCTTTAGGGCAAATGCACACCGAGGCTAAGCGGGTCAGTCCCATGGGGTGACTCGTAATGGGCAGGGAGCCCCACCCCCTGTCCCAGCGTGGCACAGTAAATGCCCCCAGGAGAGCCTTCCAGTCCTTTGATTAAAGCCTCTCCCTCTTACTGGCCGGATGCCTTTAAAGCAGCAATTCTCAAATGTGAACAAGTGTAGAATCACCCCCAAGGCCTGTTGAAATGCACTGCGGGGATTCCCCGAGCTTCTGAAACAGTAGCTCTGAGGCGGGCCTGAGAATTTGCATTTTTACCAAGTTCCCAGGTGCTGCTGCTGGTCCAGGCACCACATTGTGAGAAACACGGCTTTATGAACACACGTTAACTTGCCTTAACAGGTTTATCTGTTCCTTTTCTCCATGCTGATTTTATTGGGGGCATGTATATGTTGATAATCTTCCACCAGGACTTGAGTCCAGGGCCCACAGATCACAGGAACAGCCCAGAAAGCCGAGTGTCTTGGTGTATGTACATCTCCTGAGTCCCTGACTCACCCAAGCTGCCTACTCCAATTCGGGTTTCAGAGAGAAAGGGCCCAGAGGCAAAGCAGAGCCTGCATGACTGATGGGGAAAGAGGCCTCTGGCTCTGTGTGTTGAGGCCAAATGGTGCCCCCTGGGGGGCCTTGGGGCAGCGGGAGGAGTGGGTGTCTGAGTCGCTGGGGGCCTCTGTCATTCCCCAGAGCATGGGCCTGCTCACCACCCCCTGATCTTGTCCTCCCCCACTCCCACTCTGCCCCCACACCAGCATCCCCCCTCCCCTCCCCCTCCCCCCTTCCCCTCCCTGCCCCATGCTGGGCCTGTAGGTCTGCGCAGCCAGCAGAAATGAGGGAGGCCCTGGGAGCTGAGAGGGGCTGGGGCAGCATTTTGGGGGAGGACGAGGTGGGATGAGGACCAGAAACCCAGTCCTGAGTGGGTGTGGTATTGTTCAGTGACTACCTCAGCGGTGTTCAGCTGGAAATTTATTCATACCCTCCAGATGACCCTGTTGGAGGGGAAGGGGGTCTGCCTCCCTGACTTGTAAGGGGATTCTACCCTGTCACACCCCTCACTTGCTCCTTTCTTCCTTCACCTGGAGGTGAAGGTGACGGTGACCTTTTCCCGTCCCTACCCTCTTTAAGGGAAGAATAAAAGAAAACAAGCTCTGCTACAGCAAGAAAGATAGAGGTTAGCTCTCAGAAGGAACTTCCTTCACAGGGCAGTGGACTGGGATCTGGGCATGGGCTGGCCCAGGGACAGAGGCCCGGACATTAAAGACTCCTTGTCCACAGGCCTCAAGTTTGCTCAACTACCAAATGGGTCTAATCGTGCCTTCCATGGTGAAGATTCAGTGAGGTCAAGAACCTCGGAAGGTTGTTTTAAGCACGCCACGTGTGTAAAGATTTGCTGCTTTCAGCCAACCTGGCTTCCTTGGGGAGTGAGGGAGTTGTCCGTTTATACCTCACTGTCTTTCCCAGCCAGAAGCCTACCTGCCCAGCCCTGTCCTAACTGCCCAATGACCCGGAAGCCCCAACTCTCTCCCAGGCCCAGCCGCTGCCCACTGAGCCCCTCATCCCCATAACCAGCTTAGTGGCCCCCAGGGGGACAGGGAAGCTGCCAGAACCTGATTCTCCATGCTCTCTTATTTCCGTAGACACAGCCACCAGCCCAAGCGACGGCAGCATGGGCAGCGCCAGCCCCGGTCTGAGCAGCGTGTCCCCCAGCCGCCTCCTGCCGCCCCCCGACACTGTGCTGCGGACGGGCCTGGAAAAGGTGGCCGCAGGGGCGGTGGGGCCCGAGAGACGGGACTGGAGCCCCAGCCCACCTGCCACACCTGAGCAGGGCCTGTCTGCCTTCTACCTCTCCTACTTTGACATGCTGTGCTCTGAGGACAGTGGCTGGGCCACCAAGGGCCCCGGGGCCAGCGCTCGGGAGGAACCATCTGAGGAGCCTGAGCAGTGCCCGGTCATCGACAGCCAAGCCCCCGGGGGCAGCCTGGACTTGGCACCGGGTGGGCTGACGCTGGAGGAGCACTCGCTGGAGCAGGTGCAGTCCATGGTGGTGGGCGAGGTGCTTAAGGACATCGAGACGGCCTGTAAGCTGCTCAACATCACTGCAGGTGAGCCCTTCCGCGGGCGCACCTCTGTAAGGTGGGGCACAAGCAGGGCTGAGGTCACGAGCGGGGGCGAGGGTGCTCCCTGCGGCACTCCGGCCACCCCCCACGCAGCCTCAGCAGCCCCAGGGATGCTGGTGATTCTGCACATACAGTCAGCCCATAGCATGTAGCAGCCGTACGCCTGGGAAGGTTTCGACCCTCTCTGTGCCCTGACTACTGCAGGCAGTGAATCCGAGCTACACACCATCCGGCCCACGACCTCCCCTTGGACTCACCTCCACGCTCCCCTCATTTACTCGGCTCCAGCCACACCTGCTCATCGCTGCTCCCGCGACACTCATACCTCAGGACCTTTGCATCTCCTGGTCTCTTGATCTAAAATGCTCTTCCCCCAAATCTTTACTTGGCTCACCCCTCGCCTCCTTCAGATCTTGACTCAAATGGCACTGTTTTGATGTTTTTTCCCTGACGCCTCTATTGAAATTACTGTCCATACCCCCACCTCTTACTCCTCCTCCCTGCTTTCTTTCTCGCATCGCAGGTACTGACACCCTGTGTATTTTATTGATTTATCATATTTGCTGTGTCTCCCCCGCTGGAATGTACACACCCCAAGGGCAGGGATTTCCGCTTGCTGTGTTCACTGTTACATCCCCAGTTCCTAGGATGGCACCTTGTACATAGTAGATGCTCAATAAACAGTAACTTCTTAATATGCCAGGCCCTGTTCTAGCACAGGGGAATTGAGTGGTGAACGCCACACAAAAGCCCCTTTCTTCATGAAGCTGACGTTACAGTGAGGGAAACGGATCAGAGATACGGAGGTAAGTGTGTCACTGGTCCGGTGGTGATGGGGGCTCTGATGAGGAGGGGGCATTAGGAGTCTAGGCACCTGTGTGTCTGCCAGGAGCTGGAAAGTGTGGTTATGGTGCGGCCGCTGTGGGCTGAGAGGCTGCCAGGCCTCCTGTTCCCGCATCGTCTCTCCAGCTTTGGGCGGGCCTGACGCATCTCTTTGGATGCTGGGTCCTGGCATTTGAGCATCTCAGTCTCGTGCTGCTTTCACACAAAAAGTCTTCAGGCATCCGTCAGGCCCAGCCCCTCCTCCTTGGAGTTGCCGAGGCCCCACGCCTCCCCGCAACCATCCCAGCTGGTGTGCCCCTGCTCCCCGGCCCAGGCAGGTCTGCCCTGCCCCAGTCCTGCAGTTACCCAATGCCCCTGCCAGTCCCCACCCCTGGACGTGTTCCCATGGTGCCTCCTCTCCCACACCGGGCCAGGGAGGGGCCTGCCCTCTGAACAATGGGGACAGAAACAAATTGCTTTGACCCTGGAAAGGAAAATGGGTTTATTAAATGGGGGCAGCCCAGCCTGCAGGTCACCCAGCTGGGGCACCAGCTTAGACCACAGCGTTCACTTGGAGGCCCCGTTGTGACCATGCCCATCAGCCTGGCCTCCCCCCTTGTGCCCTGCCAGGCTCAGCCCAGAGCAGCTCCCCAGGGGGACATCCAGTGACTCTCTTCCTGACCTCTGAGGCCTATAGCTGCCCCCTGATCGCTCGATTCCCTGCCATTCATTCATTCAGTGCAGATGCACTGAGCAGCCCTTTGTTGGGTGTTGGACAAGGGGCTAGAACGCTCTATGCCTCAGTTTCCTCATCTGTAAAACATGGTGCGGGCTGGGGCTGTAGGGCTCCTCCCTAATTGTATTGTTTTTTTTCTGGTTCCTTGAAGGGTTTGGGGACGGCAAGAGTCAGCTGAGAGAGAAGCTCAGGTGTCTGGTTTAATGTCACTCTCTCCTCCAGGGCTGGGGCCTCCTGAAAGGCCCCTTGCAGGGACTGGAGGGGTCGGGGGACCTGAGATCTGGGTGAGGTGGGGGGTGTGGAGGCCCCAGGCTACCTTGCCAAGTTTGTTTCTAGGGCCCTGGCTCCTCCCTCACACCCCCCTCTTTTCTCGGGTGCCCCCTCCGCAGAGCCCCTCAGGCGCTGTCTGGCCTGGCCTGTTCTCACCCGGCCAGGTCCTGGCCACAAGCTGCTTCCAGTTCCCAGGGGCACCCCACGAGAGGCCCGTGGAACTGAGGGAGTGTCTCTTGCCCAGACCCCGTGGACTGGAGCCCTGGCAACGTGCAGAAGTGGCTCCTGTGGACAGAGCACCAGTACCGGCTGCCGCCCGTGGGCAAAGCCTTCCAGGAGCTGGGGGGCAAGGAGCTGTGCGCCATGTCGGAGGAACAGTTCCGGCAGCGCTCCCCTCTGGGTGGCGACGTGCTGCATGCGCACCTGGACATCTGGAAATCAGGTGGGGCATGGCCTGGGAGAGCAGCACCTTCCAAGCTCCAGGCCCGGGACACCGAGGGCGGTGGGCGGTCGGACCAGGACACCAGGCAGGCTTGTTCTGTGCTCGGCCGGCAGCTGCTTGCTCCCAGTCTGGGCTCTGTTCTAAATCTCAGCCCCACGGGATCCTGGGCGAACTCGCCAGCCCCAGCCCACTCCCAGCCCCTGTCAAGCCCACAGAACTTAGGGCAGGGCATGGGGGAAGTTAAAATGTAGGAGTTCCACTCTGGGGACGCGGCCAGCACAGCTGATGGCAACCGTGGGTACTATGAGGTCCTCCTTTGTCCTTTTTTTATTTCATTTGTTTGTTTTGTGTTGTTTCTCATTAAAGAAGTAATGAGGTAATACATGTGCATGATTTCCAAAAAGACCATAGTGAGGGGGTGCCTGGGTGGCTGAGTCGGTTAAGCATCTGCCTTCGGCTCAGGTCACGATCCCAGGGTCTTGGGATCAAGCCCCGCATCGGGCTCCCTGCTCCATGAGGAGCGGGCTTCTCCCTCTCCCTCTGCCTGCCACTCCCCCTGCTTGTGCTCTCTCTGTCAAATAAATAAATAAAATATTTTAAAAGACCATAGTGAAAAATAGTACCATGAAAAGTAATTTCCCCGCTCAGTCCTGACCCCCAGTCCCCCTCCCTAGAGGCAACCACAGTTACCAGTTTCTTGGGCACGTTGCTGGGGAGAGTCTATGCACACAGCAAGCAAATATACATGTGTGGTTTTCACCCCTTTTAACGTGAATAGCACCGGAGTATCACACCGTTCTGCTCTTGGTGTATCTTGGATCTTGTTCCCCCTTCAGCATCTCTACAGCCGCCCTATTGCTAATGGCTGTGTGCCAACCCCTTAACGTGTAAATCGTTTAAATCATCTCCCATCCCACTGTGTGCCGCACGGGCTTTGGAAGAGGCAGTGCTTGCTCCGTGAGTCAAGGCCCCTGCCCTTAGGCACGGGACCCACTCGTATGACCAGTAGGGACCAGTGCCCCGCCCCAGCCCAGTGGCAGGCAAGGGTAGGAGCAGCCCGTGCCCGGCTAAGAGCCAGGTGGTGATGGGGGCAGAAGCTGGCTGCCTCCATGCCCCCTTGCTTGGCCACAGGGGACAGTTTCTGTGGCCCCACAGTCCCACCCAAACCCCCTCCTCCACCCTTGGGGTCTGCCCTGGGTCTCCAGCCTTCTCTCCCTGCCCTGCAGCGGCCTGGATGAAAGAGAGGACTTCCCCCGGTACTGTCCACTATTGCGGTGAGCCAGGGCAGGCAGGGAGGGGCCGGGGCCTGGGGGCCGGGTTTGAGGGATGGCTGCCCCTGAAGCAGGGGCCCCCCCACTCACTGCCACCCCCCCCCGCCCGGCTGCCCAGCCTCCACCAGCGAGGACAGCTGGACCGACAGCGAGGTGGACTCATCCTCCTCCGGGCAGCCCATCCACCTGTGGCAGTTCCTCAGGGAGCTGCTGCTCAAACCCCACAGCTACGGCCGCTTCATCCGGTGGCTCAACAAGGAGAAGGGTGAGCGGGGGGCGGGGGGCTGTGGGGGGCCACGAGGGGAACAGGCCTCACGGGGGGCTGGCGGGGGCCCTGCTGGCCTCCAGCAGGTGCCAGGCCAGGGGAAGGCTGGGGGATGGGCAGAGGGGAGCCGCCCCCACCTTTGCCCTGAATGCCAGACACCGGGCCATCACTGGCCTGGCCGGGGGTCTGTGTACGCTCGTGTCCGCATCTGCCTCCCGGCCGAGCTCTGTCTTATTTAGGACACCCGGCTCCACACAGTGCCCGGGACATACTAAGGGCTTCAAACTGGGCTGAGAATTGGACACAGTCTTTGCCTGCGACACATTGTAGCTTCACCAGGGAGACCGCTGGGGTCCAGTGAGAAACCTCATTCGAGCCACATAGGCAGTATTAGACTTCCAGTAACCACATTATAAAAATGTTTGAGCACGTGAATTTAATTTTAATAATACTTTTCTTTAATCTAATATTATAACTTATTAAAATTTCAACATATAATCAATATAAAATTATTAATGAGATATTCTTACTAAGTCTTCAAAATCTGGTGTGTACTTTACACTCACAGCCCATCTCAATTCGGATTTGCCAGATTTCAAGTGCTCAAGGCCACATGTGGCGAGTGGTTACCTCACTGGACAGGACTAGATGGGGTGTGTGTGTGTGTGTCGGAAAACACTCAGAATCAAGAAACCTGGGTTTTAGGCCCCATCCTGTCATCTGTAGCTATGGGTACCGGGACCTCAGTCTTCTTATCTATAAAATGGACTGGATCCATTCATCCAACAATCCTTCATTGAGTACCTCTGTCCACACTTGCCCAGGAAACATTTATGGAAAATTAGTGTCCCAGTGGTCTAGGGAGGATTCAGCTGCACCCCATCCTTGAGGGACCTGCAGTGTTATGGGACAGCTAGCAGTGAAAGGAGCTGGCCTACAGAGCATGTCGGGGCTGCGACGGGGCGGTGGGGGCAGCTGAGTCTTGGTCCAGGAGGACTTCACGGGGGCGGTGACTTGGCCTGAATGGGAAGGACGAGCGGGGCTAGAGGGAGTGGAGCGAAGTTCTTGCATAAGGGGCTGTAAGCCTCGTGTATATTTGAGACTTAATGCAAGCCGGTCCTCAGGGAGATGGTTCCATGGTAGACTTCGAGGGAAAAGAGATCAGGGAGGGCACGGTGATCTGGGAAGGCTTCCTGGAGAGGGTGTGCTGGCCTGGATTTGCCAGGAGAACTGGGGTGTTAACAGTGTAATAGTTCCTCGCAAGGGGCAGCTCCTTCAGGCTCCGCTGTAAGCTCTCTGTCACCACTCAACAAATGGTAGTCGCCACCACCCCCTCCACCGATCAGAGAAAGGGGCCTCAGACAGCTTCCAAAGGTAGAATATGGCAGAGCCAGGCTTCAAACCCAGGTCAGCCTGGTTCCAAATCCTCTCTTTCCACCCCCTGCTCTGAATGGATCCTACCAGAAAGGGCTGTGCTGGCTTAATGTCTGAGGCCTGCAAAGAGCTCTTTCAGGCTTGGCACCAGCCGGGGAAGGCGGCGGGGGTGGGGGGGGGACGACCTTGACGGGTGGGCACAGTGCAGAGCCCCGCAGGGCTTCTGGGTCCGGTGGGCCAACCCCGTGGCCGGACCAGAGGCTAGCTGGGGCCAGGCCCACTAACGGGCACGGGCTCACCCTTGGTGACTCCAGGGTAGCTTTGCCATTTTGTTGGGCCCCGTGACGCACTCTGCATGGATGCCTTTGGCCCTCAGCACAACCTTGGGACTAGGTCTTATGCGCCCCCCCAGTCTGGTACTTGCTCCCTGCTGACATTGGCCCCCTTGGCCTTTTGAGTCTGACCTGTTGGTTTTGGTCTTTTGCCCTCCTGACACGGCCCCCCCGACCTTGCACCGCTGGCTCTCTCTGTCCCCCTCCCCACCCAGGCATCTTCAAAATCGAGGACTCCGCCCAGGTGGCCCGGCTGTGGGGCATCCGCAAGAACCGGCCCGCCATGAACTACGACAAGCTGAGCCGCTCCATCCGCCAGTATTACAAGAAGGGCATCATCCGGAAGCCGGACATCTCCCAGCGCCTCGTCTACCAGTTTGTGCACCCCATCTGAGGGCTGCAGGCCGGGCCCTAGGCCTGAAACTTGCCCTCGCTCACCCTCCCTCCTGCCCGCCCCTACCTCTGCCAGAGCCTGAGCCGAGGGAGAGGGCACTCGGCTGGCATCAGAGTCCAAGGTCAGGGAGCGGGCAGCCCACGGCTCCCCGGGATCTAAGTGAGCTCTCTGGGGCCCAAGGGTCCCCAGGGTGGGGGTGCTTCCTCCTCGGGCCTGACGGCTCACGTGTCCGGTCCACTGGAGGACGGAAGGAGCCAGGGCTGTCCTCAGTGTTCACGGCTCCCCAGGGAAGGCCATCCCTCCACCCCAGCCCCTGACCCCAGAATTTCCAGAGCAGAGTCAGCCGAATGGCAGTAACTTAGCCAAGGCCACTCGCAGTCCGTGCTCCCTGCCACCCATTCTGCACCATGCTTGGCGTGGTGCTGGGAGACGTCCGCACCCCTGATTGGGGAGCCAGGGGTGCTCCTGGGAATGGGTAATAAAGATATTAGAGAACCAGCACAACCCCAGTGCCTGCGCAGCAAGTGAGTGGCACATCCCTGAGGCCACCAATGCTCAGAGTGGTTGTGGTCACAGTGGCCTTGGGGGGGGGTGTTAAAGGAGGCTTCCTGGGGGAGGCAGCATTGAGCTGAGCCCACAAGGAAAGGATCATTGATTGGTAGAAGCTGTGGGAGAGAGGCAGTGAGCCATCAAGGCCAAAGAGGGGCTGGAATGGCCCTCATCTTCTCCCCACTCCCAGGTGGGGGCCGAAAGGGAGGAGCAGGACTGGAGCCGGGGGGAGTCTCCCCTTGTTCGGAATGGAGAGAAGGCGGCATCCTCCACGGCCTCTTGCTCTGCTATAGATCAGGGTTTCTGCCTGAAGTGGCCAGGGTGCTAACCCTCTTACGGGGCGCGGGGGGGGGGGGTGTCCCTGAGCCCCTGTCTCTGTGAGGGGGGCTCTGGGATGGGACGGCAGGGGTGCAGGAAAGGGTGGGCACTTCAGCCCCCACCGTGGGACCCTGGCTCTGCAGCAGCAGACGGGGTGGAAGAGAGGTTGGCTTGTTTGCGGTGTCTCTCTCGGAGAGAGTCACGGACCTCTGCAATGCCCCCTGCGAAGCCCCCCATGCCAATGGGGAGAGGTGGGGGTCAGAATGTGTGTGGGCGCGCGTGTGCGCTGGGGGAGATGGGGACCTCCCACCCACTCTCTGGGGGGGCAGCATGTCTCAGCTTCCCCACATTTGTTCAGCCAGCTCCTGTGTCTGACTGAGGACTGACCATATACTAGGTGCTTCCACTGCTTTTTTCATTAACCTTCCCAACAAAACTGTGAGGTAGGGGCTACTCCCCTCTTCTGCCAACAATGAAACAGGCTCAGAGCAGTTAAGTGACTTACTCAGAGTCACACAGCAGAACCAAGCACTGAACCCACAATGACCGTGCTCTCTCTGCCCCTCCACACCTCTTGCTCTGTGACTGGTCAGCACCTTTCGCCTCCATAACCCTCCGTTTCTGATGCCAGGCTCGCAGGAGACGGGACTGGGAGCCAGCCAGCGCAGCCCGGACCACTGAGGGTTAAATGCTGCCCCATACTGCTGCCTTCTGCCCCCGGCAATTTTATTGTCTCCAGAAGAAAGTTTACTCCCGGCAGTGAGCAAACAACACCTTGGCATCTGTCAGTTGGGACTGGACGGGCAGGAGGAGGGGGCCCTGCCCCAAGCCTGTGCCTCTCTGGGCCCCCGGCTGTCTGCCTCCTCCCAGGAAGGGGGCTGCCTGGGACCCCAGCCAGCACTCAGCTCAGCTCTGCTGAACTGGTTTTGTCTCCAGCCTTCCTGCCCTGCCCCCAGTGGAGTCCCCAGAGCCACCTGCTTGCGTGCCCCCAGCTGGACCTGGGCCTGGAGCAGCTTGGAGTCTCAGGCTGGGGCTGGGAGGGAGGAAAGGAAGGGGGATTCATGGCTAGGAGTGGGGAGCTGGAGCTCCTCCAGAAAGGGGCGCTCTGGGGGGTGGGGTGAGGCAGCTCCTTGCTGAGAGGATCTGCCATGAGGCACACATCCCCTTGGCAGGCACACACCCATCCACTGACACCTCGTGTGCTGACAGCAAACTCTAGATTCCTCTTCCCCCTCCACACACCTGCCCATCAGAACCCCATCCAGCCCAGGTATTCCCCGACACTCTTCCCCGGACCCTCCTGCAGGGCTCCCCACGACTGCATGCAAGAGCCTGCTCAAATAAGGCAACCTTTGGTCTTTATTTGAAGGGTCTTCTGTGTGGCTAAAACCAGCGGCTGGTCACTCGTGCTGGATCTGGGGGATAAAGGACATGAGGTGGTGAACAGCTCAACCCCCTCCTTGACCTATTCTCCCTGTTTGTCCTGAGGCCAGGGGAGAGCAGCAAGGGCAGGGGGGCTGTGCGACATTTGCTTTGAATCAGGGGTTTGTGTCGGGGCTCTGCCAGGCTGCCCGGGCCAGAGGGGCCTCAGAGAGCTCTCCGACCTGACTGGGGGCAGCTGAGGTTGGGGTGCAGGTGGGGATGCAGTGAACTGGCGGCAGAGCTGGCCAGCACCTGGGACTCCTGCCCAGCCCAGAGGAGATCTAGCTGCGGGTGGGGAGGCTGGAGCAGGGCTGGGGCAGAGTGAGGGCCTGGCACATCAGAGCTGAGAGCCCACAGCCTCCTCAGTTCTGTCCACTCCCTTGAGCAATCCTCCTGGAGGAGCCCTCCCCAGGGTCCCTCACAGAAATACTGTCACAGGACGGGCAAGACACAGGAAAAACGTGGCATGATCTGATGTCACACCACAGGGAGCCTGGGATTGTGAACAACCAGGAGCCACAGGCCTCAGCAGTCACTTTTACAATTTGGCTTTAGAAATTAAAACCTGGGGCGCCTGGGTGGCTCAGTGGGCTGAGCATGCAACTCTTGATTTCAGCTCAGGTCATGATCTCAGGGTCGTGGGATCGAGCCCCACATGGGGCTCTACGCCCAGTGGGGAGTCTGCTTCTTCCTCTCCTTCTGCTCCACCCACCCCACCCCGCTCTCTCTCAAATTAATAAATAAATAAAATCTTAAAAATAAATAAATAAAAATTAAAACCTATTTAGGGGTCACCCTTGAACTCTGAGTTTGGGACCCCGAATGCCCCAGCGCTCTTGGTCAGTGCTCATCACCAGGCTCCCGGAACCCTAGGGCCACAGTCTCAGGAGCCTCAGAGACCATCTGTCACCCGCCCTGTGCAGACAGGGCTCAGGGCCCTGGAAGGTTAGGGCCCAGCTCTCAGTCCTCCAGCCCATTGGCAGTCAGCCAGGACAGCACTCGGCATGCTGGGCACTTCCTCCCCGACACACCTCCCAACCACGGATAACTCCAGAGAGCTCGAAAGACACACAAGACTCAAGAGGACCACGTCCAGCCAGGTTGACACAGTTCTGGATTTTATCCACAGTCATACAATCACAACTGATAGATATATATTTGTATTTATATACCTTTAAATTACACGATCATGTACAAAACAGGTGCATTGCTGAGACCACAGCACTTCTCGGAGGGTCACAAGTGTCGGACTAATGGAGTCAGGAAGCCTAGGGCAGCAGATGGCGGGCGGCAGGGCAGCCCCGGCCCCCGGCAGAGCCAGGCGGCAGAACGGTGGTTAACTAGGGACAAAAACACACGAGTCGCCAAGCCCCACAGGGCAGGCCCGTGCAGCATTGAGGGTGTGGGGAGGGGGCTCCGAGAGGTGGTGGGCACAGCGAGGGGCGTGGCCCCCATGCTCGGGGGTGAGTGCCCCCACACCAGCACTGACAGGTGGGGCTGGGCCCCTAGAGCTCAGGGGGGGGGACTACTGGGTGGGAGACCCTCCCATTCCGGGGTCCTGAGGAGCCTGGGGACCAAGAGACAGTGGTCCCAAACCGGGCCGTGGAGGTGGTTGCTCAGAAAGAATGGGACTTCAAGTCCCTGCTCCGGAGTGGGCAGCTGGAGTGCTGAGGGGACAGGCCTGGGGTCCAGCCAGGACCAGACCCCCCCAGGTGCGAGAAAGCTACTGGCACGGAGAGGGGGAGCCCAGGCCCCAAGGCATGGATGTGCCAGCTTCCTGTCTTCCAAGGGTACGTGGTAAAGGTCAAAGGCCCCCAACCTCAACTCCCACCTGGAGGAGAGGCTGAAGGGGCTTTTGGTCTAGAGTTGGGAGGGCAGAGGGCTACCGAAATCTTGCTTTGGGCTCTGAGGGGCCTAGCGCACATCTCAGGCTGCAGCAGATGCCCAGAGAGCAGTGACAGGAAATGGGGGTTCAGGATGGGAGGTGCAGTTTGCTTGTCCCTGGGGGTGCCATCGTCCCCACCCTTCAACTCCCCTGGCCCTGAGGGAGGCCTGGCCCACTGAGGCCCCTGCCAGAGTCTGCCAGGATCCTCTGGCACACATGAACAAGGTCAGGGTCTGGAGGCTGGGGTCCACGACCCAACAGTGGAATGTTGGGAGAAGCAGGGAGCAAAAGAGGACTGAGGGGTACCAGAAGGGCTGGGATATCACACTGTCTTTATCTGGAGGCCCCGGGAGCCAGGTGCTGCGGAAGGGGCTAGGTAGGGTGTCTGCAGTCCTAAGGCCCAGAAGCTCTCCTCGAGCTACAAGAAGTCCCGGGGCCTCGCCCCAGAGGTTCCAGAGAGACTCCTTCTTCCAGCCGTTCCCCCCCTCCCCTTGAGCTTTTGTCCTGCCCTGGTCTGCTTCCCAAGCCCCTGTGCCCACATGTGTGGGAGCTGCTGGAACGTGGTACTACTACTTGGTAAGCCAACACTGCTTTCCTTCACCAACCCCAGGAAACACTCTGGCTCTGGGCAGGCCCTTTGCCTCCTCTACCTCCCCCTCCCCAAAAAGTCCTTTCACTGAAACCCAGGCCTAGAGATATTGGAGCGGCTGCCAGCAGGGGGAATTCTGCTCCAGGGGCAAGGGCCGGTTGGGGAGGAGGGGACAAGGAAGAAAGACATGTGACTGTCCTGCTCCTGAGAGCCTCGGTTCCTCCCTCCTCCAAAGCCATATCTTTCCCATTGGTGCTACAGTGTTCCTGACGGTTCTAGGCTGGAGACTCCCTTGGGCCTTGCAGTGTCTTCTCAGGAAGGCCAGAGAAGGGCAGAGAGGGATGGGAGGCCACAAGGCTGTCTTCTAGAGGCTGGCTGAACCTAGCAAATCTACGGTTTTAGATGCACATGGAGGGAGGGAGGTGGGTGGGCAAGGTGCCCTCCGCCCCAGGAAATGGGAGGAGGTTGCTACTGTTGCTGGCTTTGCCCTGGGCTTTGAGGTCTCTCCCCCTGCCTGAGGACTTAGGAGAGGGGGGGCAGGGTTTCTGCAAGTGACCGCGGGGTAGGGCTCTAAGAGCCTGTGCCCAAATTTGCTGATAACTGGAAAGAAGGGCCCCAGCAGGGTCTTGGTCCCTCAGCTGAGCCTGGTGTTGAGAGGACCGAGGGCCTGCCCCCTCTTCACTCACCCTCCTACACCCCGGTGACACTGTCACCAACTCCAGCTCTCCCCTTGTCATGTCTGGGGGAGTCTAGGGATCCCGGGAAATGTCCATGGGAGAAGAGAGTGACCATTCCTCCTCCAGCCCCACCAGTCCTTAGGGGTGAGGCTAGGAGAAGAAGGGTACTCCCCAGGGCAAAACAGAAGACTAAAGACTGGGAGGCCCCCTTTCTCTGGGGTCTGGAGGGGAGGCCTTTGACAATAGGGTGGTGGAGGGAGGGGAGCATCGTGGGGCAGAAGGAAGAGGTCAGAAAACCAGGCCCAGAGAAGAGGCGGGGGACAGACACTGGCAGCCTGGGGTTGGGGGGCAGGGGTGGGAAGCATAGTCTGTGGGGAGTGAGGCAGGAGAGAAGGGTCCGGGAGACAACCCTCAGGGCTCAGGAGACT